AAAATCAGGGGATGTTTCCAAGATGTTGGCACCTCCGAAGCATTGGCAGCTCGAATAGCATGGCTCCCTCGCTGTCCGACAGGACTTTTGGGCGATCAATTGGGTGGAGGGCTTCAAGGATGCTGCGCCGAAGAAGTTCTAAAGTGTTCTCGAGACAGACTGGTTGTAGCCAACAATCATGCATTTTCCAAAGTTGTGTGGATAGGATAGCTCCCTGGTGCTTGCAAAGATTTCAACCTGGTGACTATGGTTGCAATTGCTGATGCAATGTTTCAAGATGTTGCTGTTGGCGGTTGATTTGAACATACGTTTGGGTATTTTTGCAAGCTCACATCCAGGCCTTTCCACAGTTGGGGTGTCTTAAAGGGACCTCATTGTACAGTGATTTTGTGGCATTTCCTTCATTTCCCCAGAAGGGGTTGGAGGGTGTGTCGCAAAACAGTTCAAGGGCCAAAGGTGGTTTGGGCAACAGCCGTGAAACTTTCCTTTGATCCAGAGGCAAGCTGATTTGCTTTTGATATGTTTGCGAGATCATGTGGCGGCTTGAGAGAGCTGAAGAGATGGCGATGGACTGAGAGCTTCAATACTCAAAGGTCCAGTCTTGCAAGATACAAACTCAGCACTGACTTGCACATCAGATGCAGCCTTGTTGGCAAGCTTGGTGTTGCTGGTTTCAGCTTTACTATATTACTATGCTTTACTACTTAGACTGGTCAAGCTAGACGCAGCGCGACACTGCTGTGCCAGTGCGTGACGTGACACTGCTGTAGCGTGGTTTTGGGCTCAAGAGTCCTCGCTGACACTTCCGACCAGACCGACCAGGCAGGGACCCAGACGACAACAGCGTGGAGCTCCCCTCACCACTTGTAAGACAAGATCAACAAGATGAGGGCTCTAGGATGCTCCAGGAGCTAGAGGTACCAAAAACTCAGTCCGCTGAGTCCGCAGTTCCCAGGAACGCCACATGGTGAGAGCAAGGTGTGAGGAATTGCTCCAGCACTGTCAATGAGATCGAGTGCTGCCAGGCTTGGACGGCGACGGGGTGAGGAGAGAAGAAATGGCTTGGACGACGGTATGAGATGCGTCGCTGTTTCTGAGCACGGCGGTACCAACGAGTGTACCAATGTGTACCAACTGTCTACTGTAAGATCTGTAAGCGTGTAAACTAAATATCGTTACATACTATACATTTGTTCACGGACTCCGACCTACGTAGTGGATTTTGCACGTGTTCCCCAAATTCGAGACATTTTATAGAATTATGTCGGGCGCACCAGCCATAGATACAAGGAGCCAAAATAGTTTTATAAAGCAAAAACAAAGCAAAAAAAAGCAAAAGGCAAAGCAAACAAAAAAGCAAAAACATGTAGCTGTGCGTATTTGTCGCTTTTTTCCACTTTTGTTCGCTTTATTTTCGCATTTTGTTCGCTGTTTTTTCGCATTTGTTTCGCTTTTTTTTCGCTTTTTTCCTAGGAGGGTACAGCTTTGTTTTTGCATGTTCATTTGCTTTATTTTGCTTTTGTTTTTTCACTGTTTTTTTCACAAAAAAAAAAAAACACTATTTGATGGTTGGCCATGTATGGCTGCCATCGCCCAACATAATTATAGAATGTGACATCCTTTACATAAAGACCAATAATTCCTTCAACCTGAAGAATGTTCTGTTCCGATTCCAGCCCAGAATATGTTAGGTTTGGCCCGGGTTTGGGTTGTGCAAGATAATTGCTCTATGTCCTTCTATGTGTTTCTCCTCAACAGTTGCCACTCAAATCACTGTGGTCGTTATGGACTAGATTCTCGACAACTCCTGAAGTAGGACTGCCACCAAGCAGCAGTTCTGCAGGCATCCCAGCATGCAGAGCTTGGCCCGGCCTTGACCACCACGGAGAAGATGGGGTGGATTCCCGACCTTCCTGATCATCGCGACCACTACATGACCTTCAAGACCATCGATGCGCCCAAGGAGAATGGCCAAGGGACGTACTTCCCATGGACGTACCCCATGGCACAGGGCGGTTGGCACATCTTTGCACCGCTCATTTTCGACCATATAAGACCTGCACTGACAGACTGATCGTTCAGACCTTTTGGCAGGACATCAAGAAGAAGACTGAGGGCAAGAAGGAGATCGTCGATTTGAGGCCTCTCAACGGTGGCTTCAAGATCTTCAAACAAGGAGGCAGGGATATAGACATGGCGTGTGACGCGACGGTTTGTCCCCCATCTGTGGTTTTGGTGTTGTTCCTCCACACGAGCAGTCCCAGACAGAAACTTGCTACCTGGGCCCCAGGCCTTTGGCTTGACACACCTTGAGGGTCCTCAGCAGCGGGGGATGAGCGAGCGGCTTGCGGTACGAAAGAAATCAATGATTTTGGGCCTTCACCTCGGACCTACCGGGGGACATGCCTGGCCGCTTTGTCAGCCGCGGCCTTCCACTTCACTCCCAGTCGACTGGCCCTTCTACGACTCGACGATTTTGGCGCAGATGCCACGAAACAACGAACCAGGTCGGTGTTGTATCCATTTCTTTAGATATGACAGCACAGCTGCATCATGGGCAAGATCGACATGGTGCTTTCTTGGGTAAAAACTGGGCGATTCGCACGTCGATGCTGTTCTGACATGTTTTGACGGTGTTCAAGAAGCAGGGGTCACTGCAAGTAAGTGCGCTTTCACGCACAACACGTTGCTTGAATATGCCTTGTCCGCATGACAGGTACGTTGAGGGCAGCGTAGACAAGGATGCCGGGGCGATATTGCGCGATGGAATCAAGGTCATGGAAAAGATGCTTTGCTTGATGGAGTCGTATAAAACATCTGTAGCATTCCGTAGCCATCCCAGCTTATTCACGAAAACACGCCAGAAGATGCTGATGGTCAGATTTTTGCTGCAGGTTCTCAACCAAATGTTGAACATAAGATGTAGTTTTGTTATGACGGTTTGTGGTAGCTTAATCATGGAGAACACTGGGCATGCACTGAGCGAATTTGTCAAGTGGAAAGCACTGCCACTGAGGATGGATGGGTGTTTGCCCGGAGTCGGAAGTATGACGATGTCGATGACTTCTTCAAAAAACAGCCTTGTGCAAGGGCTGCATTCTGAGCTTGCAGATGACCTGCTGCACATGTGGCACAGGACGGGGTTGTGGGAGCCGTGTGTAAAGGAGCAGTCCTGTGAAGGGCTATGCTTTGAGCAAAGCAGCGCGCCTGGCCCTTCCCTGTAGATGAAGGCTTGCATCCCTGTAGAATCTGGAGCAGATGAAGGCTTGCATCAAGCATGGCTATCCCTTCGTGTTCTTGGGGTTAAATATTTGCCGACGTGGGTCGATGTGGTATGTTTCTTTTCTTGGTCGTTGTGCAACCGCAATTTGCATGAGCATCAGTTTATGCACTAAGTATCGGGAGACAATTGTTAGCTAGCTGAACTATGAAGAAGGTCGTGGGGACAAGTGTGCCCGATTGTGCTTGCACATGATCACATTGGGAAATGTCCAGGCAACAAGCCATCATTAAGGCATTGGTCCACATAACAGGACAGTGCATACCGACCTGGATCGACCTGGTACTTAAGTCTTAATTGCTTTTCTGGGTCTTACCTGGGAGAGCACCTCCGGTCCCCACCACCCCCGCGGTACTCCTGCGCCACACCAGCTCCGGTCCGCGGTTTGGCTTCACGGTGCTGACAAGCTTTCAGGATGCTGCCAAGGACGGCAAGATGGTGATGGCTCAGAAGAACGACCGGTCGCTCCATGGACCGCACGTCTGAACCGATTCGTGGTTCTGGGTCTGGGTTTGGGTCATGGTTCGGGGACTGGGTTTGGGCCGTGTGGGATGGGCCGAAAAGGAACGGTATCCTGGTATCCCCCGTCAAAAAAAGAATGATGACAAGGGGGGGGGGGTCCGAAAAGGAACGGTATCCTGGTATCCCCCGTCAAAAAAAGAATGATGACAAGGGGGGGGTCTTGAGTGTTTGGTTGTTGACGAGAATTGCAACCTTTTCTCCTCATGAACAGGCCTGCCGTGAACTGTGCCCCCTGGCGCCTTTTTCGTGAACGGTGTGGTTTCGGGCGGTGTGCCCGTCGTGACTTTGCTTTGACTTTCGATCGGCGCCTGGGGCCCAAAACCCCTCGATACCGACACAGAAAGGGTCTGGGAGGTGCTGGTCAGTCTTTGCCTTTCGCCTTTCTTCCTCTCCTGGTTTGACACGGAACGGAAGAGACCCACATGGAACCTGAAAGCCACGGGGTTGTAGAGGAAAATCGTTTTCCAAAGGTCCATTTCCAGGTGCCATGTGGGTCTTTTCCGGGTGTAATGATAATCACGAAAGCTAGCATCAGCTAGCTGGAGTTGCTCTTGCTTTAGCAAGTCAAGGGCTCGCAGCCTCGAGAATCATGAATCACGTGAAAACTTCACGTGTAGGGGGTCCCCCCCCCCCGCGGGTTCGACGCTTCCAGTACGTGCTATAGTGCTATGTTTAGGTGGCAGGTGAAGTAGGCCACTGTTTGAGTTTGGAAGGGGGGGCATGAAACATGACATTTACGCGAGGGTTCAAGGCTTCAATGATGAGCATCACGGGAAGTCAGAAACCAGGCGTATCAGATACACGTGCCTTTGAGCTTCCTTCGGCATCTCAGTGCATATGGCTGACACTTCACTCGACAAAGATGCTCAAACAAACATACATAAACCAGGTGTATCTGATACGCCTGGTTTGTGACTTCCCGTGATGCTTATGATGCTGCGTTGCTTTTCTTCAGTCCCTCATTACATATACATGACGATGCAACAGCAGATTCAACAAGCTCACATGTTCATGACATCGACATCGATAGAAGAAACCAAACAAATCATGCAAGCAGCTTTGTTTTGCCTCTGGGACACCTCTTGGGCACCTCTTATGGCATCCACACTGGTTCAACTCCTCCGTGGAGGTTTTGGGATACGGTGCAACAGATTCAACAAGCTCACAGGTTCGTGAACACATCGGATGCATCGAACAGTGTGGCAAAGTCCAGCCACGCTTCCTTAATTATCGGGGACTTCAATTCAAAGGTTGGCTGTGTCATTGCTGTTTGTGTGTCTTACATGTTCACAACGTTTTACCTCATGAGCATTTGCCTCACTCCGCTTGATGTCCCACCAGTCCGGATGCACCCCTGCTAGCTTTCGTCACCTACCCTCGGCCTCAAGTGGACTGAGTTGTCACTGACCTGTGGCGATTTGAGAAGTGACCGCTTCCTGGAATGGATCTCGAATGGATTTTTAGCGGCAACCGTTTAATGGCGCATGACCCTTTTTGGGAGGTCTAACTTGACCATTTACAGGCCTAAGTTATATACAGTTATACCAGGGGATCACAATGGTCACGTGGAAGAAACCAGGAGTTCAGAGTGTTTTTTTAGTGAATTTTGGCCTCTCACTGGGCCCTCTATTTCCCTATCGGCTGCAAAGACCGCACGGTTTGGAAAAGACATGCAAAACGGGAGACCTCAGTTGGAAAGAGGGGAACTCAGCGAAGAGATGTGAACAGTTGGTTTCTAGAGGGGGAAGTGGTCGTTCCTAAATGGATTTCACCACTCATTTTAGACTTAGACCTTGGACGAGGACCATCATGCAAGGTGTGTGGTGGCCATGCCGTGTGCGCCGTGGGCTACGATGACTTCCAGCAGTGCTTCATCGTACGGAACTCCTGGGGCGAGGACTGGGGTGACCAGGGCCGCTTGGAATCCTGAAGGAGAGGAAGAAGGACGGGGGCGACCGGAATGGTTGAGCCTGTTCAACTACGAGTTCTTGAAGGAGTTCGAGTGGTAGTCAGAGGTTTCCTTGCGATTCTGGATGTTTCCTGCGATTCTGTTCACAGTGATTTGGGTAGTTCCTGCGAACAGCTAGCACACAAGGTTGATGCGACCCTCTTTAGACGTACCGGGTACGTCCCTTCGAAGGCTTGTGCGGGACCTGTGATTCTGCAGAAACATCCAAAACACATAGGTTCCAATGTTACAGTCCAAGCTGTTAAAAGGATTTGAAAGGCAAGTGCCCTATGAGTACAAATGGTCCTAATTATGTTTGGACGTTCCCGCAGCTGAGGCTACTTCTACATGCCCTATGAGTACATTTGCCACCCCCAGCTGGCACAGGACACAACTCCACCGGGTGATCACGACAGAGGGAGGGAGAGGAAAACAAGAACATACTCCAAATTGAGGCCTGCAAATTCAGCTGCTTTTGCCGTTTCCTGGGGCTCGAGTGTCCAATGTCGTTCAGCTTCAGTGCAGGTGTTGCAATCCTACCCTAAGAAGCCCAGCAAACGCCAGGTTTTCAGTTTACACTCCCTGAACTCATGGTTTCGTGGATGGCATGGCCGCACAAGGCCCACGCATGGCCCTGAAAACTCGGCTGACCATGAAATCCTCATACCAAGCAGGTGGTGTTTACTCCACAAAAACCTGATGTTCAGGGGGTGAGGGCGCCATTCGTCCAGGACTTTTGGGCGATCAATTTGGGTGGAAGGCTTCAAGGATTGCGCACCCAACAAGTGAGGAAGACGCAGGGAGAGAATCAGAAGGACCGCTTCCGCTTTGCAGTGGATTGTAGAATTTTTCCGTGGTTGATGGTCTCATCAGTTTGCGGTTGATTGTGGACATTTGTAGTGCTTCCATGAGTTGCCACTCAGAGCCAGCCCTTCTTTCGCTGCGAACATCTTGTTTTCCACTGGCGGCGTCGTCATCTGATGGCCTCCACTGTACAGTGACAAGGCCTTCATCCCTCAGAAGGCCCTGGGAGTCCAGTTGACGGCCAACAACAAAAACTCAGAAGGCCCTGGTGATCCTATCAGAACTCGCACGTTCCGTTTGCTATCTTTTACTCTTGGCGCTGCAAAGACCGCAAACACCTCTTTCGACGTGGACTTCTAGGGCCAGGAGCGGTGAAGGGAAGGACGTCTCTCGACGTCGCCGCAGACGTGGCACCCGCGCGGGTGGTGACGCAGGCACCTGGAGCTGAAAAGGAGGGACGGCGCGGGTTGTGACGCGAACATCTGAGGTTGATGAAAGACTAGGACTAGGAGCTGAGCTATACCCAAGAAACGTGGATAAGCTTCAACGTTTAAATACCTTTGTTTGGGGCAGTGGCAGGAAGAAGGTGAACATAGGTGAACCATGATTTCCCAGGGAAGCTGAAGGAGCCAGTTGGGAGAACACTATCCTGTCACAAGTTCATGGCGCAGTTCCCTCCCAGTTGGCGTCAGACCGCAGGTCTTACCGGTGACGAGTGGCGTTCGCATGGCCTTGACCGCTGCATTTACCTGCAGTCGTGAGAAGGCTTTGAGCATCGAGGCAGGGCTGGTGCGGTGGACAATGGTAAGTTGGATGATGTTCCATTCCAATTCCATGATGTGTTCGATTATATGTTGCAAATACCTGATCGCCGGCTGGGAATTGGCAGAGCTATGCCGCTCAGCAACTATGCCGCCTTTTGGGAATGCTTTAGGTCCTTTGCACCGAGTGGTTCGCACATCACGTAGCCCTGACAGCAAGCCTACAATAGCCCACTGCAAGGGTGTCATTTTTTTTCAGGTAGGTGTCGAATCACTCTATGACTCTTGGAAAGCGGATACGTACCACATGACACTCATGTGAGCATCTCACTAGTTTCTGTAGAAGATTGTGGAAGTAGCTTGTCAGAGCACGAGAGAATTACGATCGATTGTTGAATCATATGCACTTGCCCGAGTTTATTCGAGCACCTCGCTTTCAATGGTTTGCAATGTTTGTGTCAGGCAGGTCAATTGTGTCATTGTTTTATTCACCGCACCCATCTATTTGAACTGTAAACCCTAAACCATCCATCCATTCCGTTCTATCCCATTCCATGTTGAATCCTCCATCCATTTTGACCCGGCTCCGTCCACACCGGATGCGGTGCACTGCCGGTTCCGCCCGGCGCGGTCACGCGAGGCCTTCCCAAAGCCAGGGCTCGTGGAGTGAGAAAAAGAGGCGGCCGTTGTGGAAACGTCGCGTCGACCACCGGATTCAATGGAGCGACTCCCTCAGCTGGTAGCAGAGGAACATGTGATATTTCCATATATTTCCCAGACACTTCCATTGGGGTGGTTGAATCGGGGTCAATGTAGGCATATGTGCAATGCATGGAGTGTTTGGGTTTGTTTTAAAAACTTTTGGAGTTAATTTGTCCAGGTCTAGTTTTCGCCAGTGATTAATGTGTGCCTTTTATTAATAACCCCCCCCCCCTTTGATCAAGTGCGGGCCCCAAATAATGTGATTTCCAATAAAAATCCTAGAAAATCTTGATTTGAATTAGGCATGAAAGGAGAGGAAAGGAGATTGAAGGAAAGGAAAAGAAATGAAAGGAAAGGAAAGGACATTGAAAGGACAATGAAAGGAAAGGAAAGGAAATCGAAAGGACAATGAAAGGAAATTGAAAGGACAATGAAAGGAAAGGAAAAGACATGAAAGGAACATGAAAAGAAAGGAAAGGAAATTGAAAGGACAATGAAAGGAAAGGAAAGGAAAGGAAACCTAAAGGACTTGTAAAGGAAACCACAAAAAGAACCAGCCAAGAAGTGTTTAATTAGTACTATTTGAGGTCTTTAGTAATTGAAGGTTTGGGCTGCTTGTGGGGGGGTGGGCTTTGTGGGTTGATTTCAGGTTGGAAATTGCAATGCCCAAATAAGCATGTTTTAAAGGAACATGCAGCAGCCAAATCAGAAATCCAGAAAGGTTGCCTTTCAATAAAGCTAAAGCTTTTCAACCAAAAGGAAACCTAAAAGACTTGTAAAGGAAACCACCAAAAGAACCAGTCAAAAAGTGTCTAGTACTATTTGAGGTCTTGAGTAATTGAAGGTTTGGGCTGCTTGTGGGGGGGTGGTCTTTGTGGTTGATTTCAGGTTGCAAATTGCAATGCCCAAATAAGCAAATTTAAAAGAAACATGCAGCAGCCAAATCAAAATTCCAGAGTAAAGGAAACCACAACATAATCAGGTTTTGGAATCAGCTGAAAGCTCAGAATCAGCTTGGATGAATCAAGGTCTGGAAGCAGCTGAAAATCAAGGTCCAGAAAACATTTAGTACTATTTGAGGGCCATTTAATATTGATTTTTGAAAAGATTTAGTACTATTCACGGGCCATTTAGTATTATGAGGTCAACATTAGGCGTGGCTGCACTTTGTTTCCCAATTCTTTCAAGCTGCTGCTTACGGTGGTCGACAACTGAGCAACAACTAAGGAATGGACGCGAATGGAGCCATTTATTTGGTTGTTTTGCTTCATCGTGTGCTGCATTTTCATGCGTTTTATGCGGCTCAGCTTGCAGACATCATGGCCCTGCTTAGCTGCTATCAGAGTAGCCCACATGTGCTCAGCGTCCACATGTCCACCTGGTTGGGCCGTGATGTATTTTGCACATGGACAGGGCCAATGGCTGGGCCAAGAGCGAACTAGAACATGCCAGCTTGTCATCGGAACCCATCACCTTCGAACCTGTCCTGAATTCTTCAAGGTTGCCTAGAGTGGTCGGAGCTACTGAGGCATCTATAGGGGAATGGCACAACATAAACAGAAGCATTTGCCATTTATGGTGGTCCCTGGACAGCAGGACCGTTTGGGGCAACTGTTCACCGAGCTGATGGCTTAGCATGGCGAGCCGCTCACGGGCTAAGGCGGAGCGGTGCAGGTGGTATATGTTTGCGGGGCTCACACCGCGAACAACCATAAACATCAACAAACCACATGGAACACGTGTTTTTCAAAGGAGAGTCATTTACTTTAAGGACTAAGACAACCCAAGACCGAATTGAGTCTTCCGAAGGCAAATGAATAGGGCCTCATCCGAACTTTGAATGAAAAAAAACACCCAACGTGGCTCAACGAGACATGTTGAACACGCGTGAAAAGCCTGGTTGGGATGAATGACTGACCTACATTAGGCCCTACATGCAGTCTAGAGCCATTTAGGGATATTTAGGGTCTTAGCATTCTAGACTGACTATATACATGATTCTGAATGCCAGGCTCCATCTCTAAGTGTTCTAGAGCCATTTAAGGCCTTAGACTCCGAGCAATCCTACTTTCATTTCCCTTTGAGTGAAAGATTGCGAGCTCTCCGAATGAAACTAGAGTAGTGAAATCATTGTGAACAATGTTTGACAGATGAATGTTTGGAATCTGAACACAAATACAGGGGTTCGGTTAGTAAGGGATCATGATGTGTCGCATCCCTTGGGACGCCTTTTCGGCTGCCTTGGACTCCAGGGCACAGCGAAGGAGGCTGCACCGAAGGAGGCAGACAGTTGGTGACATTTGTCAGCAGCTAGCAGCTACAGTTGTTGGGTGAAAAGAGATCCCCCAAGACTGCAGCTTGAAACCAGGCTGCCGATGTCTCCCTATTTGATAGTCCAATCCTGCAAGTGTTTGCGTTGAACGTGTAGGAGCTGGGTTGAACGATTGCTCCCGGAGGGTGTGCCAGTGTGAGTGCGCCACTAATGTCAAGAGCTTAAGTTAAGCCTTGAGTTGCCGTTCTGCTTGTCTTGTTTTGTCTTTGAGATTTGACCCAAAGACCCGAGGGGGCCTAGACATGTGGAACATCGCCCATGGCGGGTTCATTCCGCGCCAGTAGGACTCCCTTGGGATCCCCTCGAGAGGCCTGTGAGACCGTGGGAGTCGTGTGCGACCGAGAGCGAGGCCTCCATTCCGCTCGAGCGGCGACCGGGACCAGGTCTTCGATGCGGGACGTTTTGGCCGTTGGCTACGCTTGCTGCGGCCCAGCTGAAGCGACGAGGGCAGGGCGGGTTCCCGCAGGGCAGGCTGCCTGTGGAGTAGCCTGTCAGTTACTCCATACTAAACGTATAGCAGAAACTTCTGCCCATTATGAGTATGCAGGTCCTCTTAGTCATGGGTGCAATGCTCAACTATCCATCCACTGGTTCCAGGAACTCCCGTAGTCCTCGATTGGGTCTGAGGCTCGTGGCTTTCTACAATGACGATGAGGCGGCGGTCGCTGACCTCCTGTGGGGAGTCCCGATCGCACGTGGATGCAGTCGTCACAAACCCAGGCAGGCAGGGGGGTTCGAAGGAAAAGCTTCTGCGAAGTCCCAAATCACATCCCCAAACCAGTCGTCACAATTGTTGGGCATGTTACAGACCAAAGACCATGCTTAATGTTTCTTTGATCCACCGCAACAGTTGTCATAATAGCTGCTATACTGTGTGCTGCGCGTCATGAGACACACGGGATCACATGGGTATTGCTTTGGATAGGTGATGGGTGCTAGGTGGGTGATCTTGCATGCTTTGTGATGCCGTGCGTACGACCTTTAGAATTCGCAAAAATCAATAAAAATCAAACATGATGCTAAGAAGATGTCCAGAGAGAGACACCTGACCTGAAGCAGACCTGTGACAAGCAGAAATCCGGGTCAGAGCATTTATTCTGAGGAATTGAGGAATTACCGGTTCTTGGAATGTATACTATTGAAAACCTATATGAAGAGGTTTCACGATCCAAATGCCAGGGAGGTCATGGATTGAGAGTCTGCAATGAGTCTGCAGTCTTTGCCTGGTTTGGATTTGAGGGTGTCGAACGACACCGGCTGGACTGTTGGACCCTTCAGTCCCTTCAGAGACAGTCGATGGATCGATTCAACATGTGCAGTGTCGTCAAAAACATGGAATCCATGTAGGCTTGCACTGGAATGAACCGAGCCATTGAGCCATTGAGCCTCAATGCGGCCTGTAAACAGTCGCTTTCCGGAGTCCCGGATCCCACACGACTCCAAAGCTGACCCAGAAGTGGGGAAGATCCCAAGAAAATAGGACTTTGAAGTGCTTTAGTAGAGGGCACATGATGCTGCAAGGGTTGCTAAAAGCTCCACTGAATGGCCCTACTCACTCCTGAAACAGGAGCTGGAGGTGCCATAGACCAGCAGCTTGAGGGTTCACATACGAAGACCCCCCCCGTCACGGTCTGCGAAAATGGCAAGACAGCTTCTTTTGGGAGATTCCGGCGCATATTAGGAAAGTATACCAGGAGTCACAAAGGGGTGGTGTTTAGTCCCTAAGTGAGTGAGGAAACTAGATTTTTTCCGCTCCCTTGAAACAAACATCAGCACAATCTCAGATCAGCTCACCTTAGAAACTGAGCGAGCGAAAAGAACAAGTCTTTATATCATCTTATTCGCACCCATTCCCTCGTCATGTCCTGGAACTGGCGCTGGTCCTACAGCTCCTGGGGATCTGATTGGACCGCAACGGCTGGAACGCACGAACGCTACGGCTGGTGGACGCCGGAGACACCAGCTGACCGGCCACCGGAGGCTGAAGCCTCCCAGGTGGAGGCGCCCAGCGTGCCGCGCGCGGGTGGGGAGAGGGAGCGGAAGGACCTGGCGATGCAGGAGCCCTACGCGGAGGAGCTGCGGCAATGGCTGCGGAGCATCGACGCGTCGCTGGAGGATCGATACTTTCCGATCCTGGAGGACTGGAGGAGTGAGGTTTTTCCGCCCTCTTCCAGTGGTGTGTTTGGGGGAAGGCGGTGGGGGTCTTCAAGGGTGTGATGTAGCCTTTGAAGGTTTAATTACGGTAGGTATATATACAGTATTATATACAGTATTTTATTACAATAATTTAAAAAATTAAGAAATATACATCTAAAATCTGTTGGAACATGTTTGTGGGAGTCATGGAGAACTGTGGGTGTCGTTTGTGAATGCCAGGCCGCAAATTGTGATGAAACCTTATCGCAATGACAGCAAGTCCTCAGACCCTTGCCAGGACGGTGGTTTGATAATGTGCCCTATATAGTCCTATATAAGTTCCTATGCATAACAGTATATAACTGTGGAAGTCAGAAACACATAGCGCAGCAACATGATGCTCATTGCTTGAGCTTCTGCCAGGAGCACTATGATACCCTGAGCCAAATCAAACGCGTGTACCTCTTCCACGACGAATCCGGACCTCACTTGGATGCTCAGTTCTTCGAGGACAATCACATCGATCGACCTCACCAGCAACTCTTCCGCGCTGCTCTCGAGCGCGGACTGAGCCGTCTCGACCGAGCCGTCTCCGCCGTCTCAGCGACGTCGGAACTGCCGGAAAAGGAAGGCCCTGCGACGGCGGGCGACGCGGCCAACGCGGGAAGTGCGGCAATGGACGCAGCAACTGAAGCTGCGAGCGATGCATGGAAGAAGGAGTGGAGTAAGGAGGACTGGTGGCGGTGGAATAATTGGAGCCCTGGATGGAACACCTGGAGCTCCGGATGGAACACCTGGAGCTCCGGATGGAACAGCTGGTGATCCAAAGCGCGGGAATCGCCTAGCGATCGTGAGCGAGTGCGGCTGACCTGCGGTTGGTTCACAAAAAGCGGGTGTGAGACGGTTGCAAGCCTGAGGGGAAACCAATGATACATATGGAGAGAGAGAGAGAGAGATACCCAGAACTTCCAATAAGTCGTTTGCTTACCGCACCGCAAAATCAACATCGACCACCACCATAGAGGTATTGTCAGAGATGATCACTATATATATTCTATTATATATATTCTATGTTGACCACTGGCTTTGGACTGTGCTTTGGGTTGCATTGGTTGGTCCAAAATTTGGAGGGCTCAGAGGCGTGGAGTCAAGGAGCTCTTTGCCGGTTGCGTGGTCCACGGCATGATCTCAGGAACTCGTTCATGTCCAGCATGGATCCAACCCTTTTCGAGTCTCTAACGGGCAGTGCTTGCGGTATCTGGCGGTGATGGCACGTTTTTCTCCGAACGTCTTCGATTGGTCCAGCAACCAATGCCAGTGGATGACACCAATGCCGGTGACGGAAGAAGGCAATGGCCATGTTTATCCATGTTTCCATATATATGTCAAAACACGGGGTTGGATCCTACCAACACAAAAGGGCACGCTGACGCCTTTTTTCTCGCCTGAGCAAAGCGGTCCCTGCGAACGATCCAATGCCGAACAAGCGAATCATGCTGGGCGCATCAACACTGACTATATTTTCTATGGTCGTTGTGCAGTGAAGATGGTTTCCACATCAGCATCTTATGTCGCTGACAGCTTCAAGTGACATGGACTCACTTGAACGACCGGCGCACTTCAGTGCCGGGAATCAGGCAACCCATCTTTTCACCTGGTCTGGAGCTCTCGGCTTCAAAGCGATGGATGTAGGCAATCAAATCCTTTAGCTCTCCGCACGAGGATCCAAGGCGAGGCCGGCACCACTTGACATAGCTGCGAGCTTCATCTTCTTCCGATTCAATCAAATCACGGTAGCACCAGTTTCGGGACTTGTACTTGCCGAAGGAGATCTTGGTATTGCCCCACTGCTTGGTGGACACAATGCCAGGTGGCAATGGAACATCTGACATAAGCTCTGGTGTCGTGGACGGAAACGGGGTTTCGTCGCTCTTGGCAGCATAAGTCGAGGGGCCCTTGACATCATACTCCTGCTCTGGCACCTGCATGGTCTTTCGACCGGACTTGGTGTTCATGGGGTATTGACCCTGATCACTTTGCCTCTTAGAGGCATCACTCATAGTGCCAATGAGCTCAAAGTCGTCTTCGACCCAGCCGAGATCTGTCAACGGATTCACTCCGTTGCGTGAAGCCTTGTGCAGCAAAGCTCTCAGCTGCTCATTGTCTTTTTGACTCCAGGCCATGACGTCGGCACGAATAGGCGTGATGGGATATGCGGCTTGATTCCTTCAAAGCTTGCTCAAAAACCATGACAATAATCAACTATCACCTTAAAGTTCATCACAGCAGGACTGTCAAACTGTACACGGCTTGCAATCTTGGTCTCGAACAACACATATGAATGCCCCCTCAAACTGCTTTGGCAGTACATGCATTGCAAAGTTGTTACTTCACTCAAGACCTAAAAATCCTATCGAATTCGATCATCGGCGAGCTCCTGGAAAGGCATCCCTTTTTCCTTCGAGAGAGCTTGATTTCTTCTTTGAACACGCAACTCTTTTTCAGCAGCCTGTTGAGCCAACACATGTTGTTCAGGGGAAATTTGGTAGCTGGCACCACGCATGCAGGCTCTGAGAAGGTCTATGGGATCCATTTTGTCCTTTGTGAGGGCATCAGCTAGCATACGATTTGTGGGGATCCATCGTATAGATGACTTTGTTGCTTTGATTGACTCTCGAATGATTACTATGTCTATGCTAGTCCGACGATCATCTACTGCGGTGGGTGAGGAAGGACTGATGAGATGATCATACAATGATTTGCAATCAGTTGTGAGAATTGGTGGTCGTTCATGCAGTCTTTGACGGCTCAACCTGGGCTCAAGCTGACCATCGAGAGCTTCACTAAGGATCAGACTGACCCACTCAACAGTTCCTGAGGCGGTAGCCAATGCTTGGCTTTCGCCAGCTAACGTCGAGCTCACTGCGCGAGGCAACTTGTAGCTTTTCCAAGCTAGTGGAGTCCAAGGGGAGATGTCACCTTTATCTAAACCTTGGTCTACGAAGGCTAAGATATAGCCTGCCTGTGTGTGAGTCCCAACGTTCGCAAAAGCAGCGTCACTATGACAGCAGATTCGAAGCCTTTCAGGCGGAATGGCACGAAACTGAATCTTTAGGTCCCGGTGCTGCTTCGCTCTTCGGATTGCATTGTTTGCATCCCTCAGGTGTTTGATGCATGGATGAGGAAACACTTGCTGAGAGAAACTTGTTTGTACGGCCAGGTCTGGACGGGACTGGGACGAGATCCAGTTAAGGCTTCCATTGATGGCTCGGAGAACTCGGATCTGCGAGTCGGGCAAAAGCTGCTCATTATCTACTCCCTTGGCCACGTGAGCCGGACGAAGATTTTCAGCAAAATTCTTCTGTGACATTGAGATCTCTTTGGATTTGGGGTCTTGCACATAAAAGGCGCCACAAAATTCACCTGATTGAACTCTCCATTTGCGATAGGGAAATCTTTGTTTCAGTTGGTGAACAGTATCTTCAAACAGCTGGCCTTGGCCGCCTAGAGCTGTGTCGTCTACGTGCACACCCATGATGCCTACAAGTTTATTGGCTTGGCGCAAATAATACAGGCAGGGGTCGAACAGCGAACGTTCCCAGCCGAATGAACATGCGGCTTCGTCGAACGTACGATGCCATGCGGACGGAGCGTCGTTCTGTCCGTAGACGTTTCCAACAATCTCCAGAACAGCATCATCTTCGATCGACGGAATACCACCTGCTGGCATGCGGGCGTAGAGTGGCCGAAAACGATCAGGCAGGGGCCCTGCCTCTAGGAATGCTCCTTTTATATCCCCTAACTGCAAATCCCAACCACAAGAGGAAATCACCTGCATAAGTATCATTCGTCCTATTTGACTCAATGTGGGACTTTGAAGCAACCCTTCGTGAAGCTTGGTGTCCAAATCTGGGTCCAGGTGCCCCTGCAGGCACCAGCGGCTCTTCACACGAAAGGTGTTCGGATCTTCGGGATCAAAATGAAGATTCTCTTCCAAGGGCTTGCGAACGATGACAAATCGACTACCCATGAAGCGATCGGGATGATGAGTCTTAATCCATGCTGCTTTCTTTCCAGTATGAACTCTGATGGCACCCTTTTCCATGAGAGTGGTCCATTCTACCAGTTTAGACTCGTCCACCGCCTGTTGCAAGAGCGGAGGGTTCCCTGTCGAAGGAATTTCTTTTCCGGCTCGCTTTTGGAGGTAGGCAGCAATGAGCACTTCAACATCTTTGGACTTGTCCCAAAGTTGACATAGTTGATTACAATCCTGAACTGACAAGACCTCTATCGACAGTTGATCGTCCGAAGCGAGTCGGGCCCTAGTCGTTGGAGGTTCGGTTGAGTCAGTCGTCTCGGGGTAATCGCGCTTGATCCCAGAGGCACTACTTGAACCGGAAGAAGTTGTCACCTGTTGATCGATGAGTTGTGGAACAATTTCACGCATGATTTCAACGAAGTCCTCATGTCTAGTCATTGGAGGACGGTAGAGGGCTGCTTCTCCTGATTTCTCATGAACCCGATGCTTGGATCGAATGAGGCCATAGCTCGCTTGGCTGGGCATCGGCGACTTGTCAATGACTTCTGGCATTGCAGTATCCGGTTCAGCATTAGAGGCTTCAGCAGTCATGGGAACATCATGGTCAACGTTTGGGCTAGGAGTTGACTGTTCACCTGTGGGAGCAATCTGAGGAATTTCTTGTGCAGCTGGAGCGTCGGAGGCTGTCGTTTCAGCTCTCTGTTCACCCTGATCATCTGGTTGCAGTGTTGGATAGTGACCAGGAACCAAATCGATGAAATTCTTACTGCGGAAGGTGCCACCCATGATCATGTCCTTGATGCCTAGAAGTTCTGTTTCAGGGGTTTCGACTGTTGCTCGTTCTTCGGAAGTTGCCAACCTCAGTTGTTCAGGTGCCACTCGAAAGATTTGTTTTCGATGTGCAATGATGAGGTTTCGACCGACATTCCCAATGACCACGGCGGTGCCATACCATTGACCACCTTGGATCACACCTTCCCCGGATTGAAACTTCTGTTGCCGCCAATAGGCAACCAGAGTACCTGCAGGAAAGTTCAACACGGCACGGGGTCGAGCTGCTAATGCCCGACGCAGTGATTGGCTGTCTTGCATTTCTATCACTGCTCTTCGTGCTGACGTGCGAATGGATTGCGCTCGAGCTACACACTCATCGGACAGTCCAGCGGTGGCAGGAACAACACTCAGCGGTTCATCCATAAGGTCGGAAGGCACCCTTGGGTTACGACCGAAAACATGTTGCGTCGGAGTGTAACCATAGTTCTGAATCATGGAGTTCTTCACATGAGCATGCACCACACATTCTTGCCATGTTTCACGGTCGATTGGACAATGTTCTGTGATGATCTTGGTTAACACACGAGCGAACCAACCACCATGGTTTTCCGTTTTCCCGAGTTGCCAATGAGCTTCGGCCGGAATCACTCGAACTTCGGTTCCTGACAAGACAAGAGTATTCTGTAAAGCTTCTCCCATGTTGGTCTGAGCTGGGTCTAGAACAACTACTTGAGGTGGTCCAAAAACACGAATCCAGTTCTCCAAAAACAGCTTGCGCAAAATAGCGGTTGTTTCTGGTTCATGAAAAGGTAGAACCATTTGATAGCTGCTTCCATGACAAACAATGTTAAGGGCACGAATCTTTTGGTTGGGTTTCCAACCTGGCAAGTATTTAACATCCATGCCGATGGTGTGATTGAACTCGGACACACGACTGGTCTTTGCCGGCAAGGCGACATGTGGTCTGATGTGTGTCTTGCACTGCTCACATTCATATTTACGAGATAGCGCAATGGCTCTTTCACTGGCATGGGCATGCTTCAAAATTCGGACCAGATCATGACTAGGGGG